AAACACACCTAGAACGATGATAAACTCACTATGTTATCCTCAAGTATCTTCAGTTACTTCATTGGATTTTAAGGGGATTCAGTGAAACTAAATTTGAGAGTCTTAAAAAAATTTTGGACTTAAGACTTCATGTTTATGATCTGAGGGTAGCAAGTAACAGCTACAATTCTCTCAGCATTGGCAGCAAACTTACATATACACTCTTTATAATAGAACTGTAACTAATGGACTTAAGCTGTGCCTCTGAAGAATCTAGTTAAAACAAAACAAAGATAGCATGATGGGAAATGAATGAAAAAAAAAAAAAAACTGGATCCTCTGAGCCATTCACTGTGTCTAATAGTCCCTCAACCACAAAAGGCTGAAGAGGCTTCAAGCTGAAGAGGGGCTATCTGAGGTCAATCTCAAAACCCTTTTAAAATATGCTGAACCTGAATTCTTTATTAAATTGATTTTTAGTTAACTGATAAATTGGGTTCTGTATTAAATTGATAAAATATGTAACTTAAATTAGAAACTCTACAAGCATATTTGTCCTTAAAGTTTTGCAAGTTAATACTGTAAACACAACTCAGTATCAAAATGCTATTAATGAAACAGGATATATACTTTTCTTTTCTCCTTTTTTAAACTGCCTTTGCCACAGGGAAGTACAAATGAGGTAAGTTTAATTTTTTTAATTAAGAGCTATGTACTTGTAAACATTATGATAGTTTATGAATTGACTAGGTATTAAAGAATATGTAGATTAGAGGATCTTTGGTGACTATCAGCTCTGTTTTTCTAACATTTCCATTTCTCATTGTGAATTTTTAAGTTTTTTTTTTAATACTTAATTATTTTATTTCAGTGGCAGAGTTACAAAGAGAGAGAGACAGAGAGAGGTCTTCCACCCGCTGGTTCACTCCCCAAATGGCTGCAAGGGACAAAGCTGGGCTAGACCACAGCCAGGAGCCAAGAATCAGGAGCTTCTTCCCGGGTCTCCCACATGGGAGCAGGGGCCCAAGAACCTGGGCCATTTTCTGCTGCTTTCCCAGGCACAGTTAACAAGGAGCTGGATCAGAAGTGGAGCAGCCAAGAATTGAACTGGCACCTATATGGAATGCCAGTGCTGCAAGTGGTGGCTTAACCTGCTACGCCACAGTGCTGGCCCCTTTAATAGTTTTTTACATTTAACTTACTCCAGACATCATTTATGATTTGATCTACACAAAAGAAAGAACTTAACTGATTATTATGAATGATATTTGTTTCCTGAATGTGTAAAAAAATCAGAATTCTACACAGTACATTCTGCTGTAGTGCAGTCAAAGAAGTAAGTTACAAAGCCTGAGTGAATAACTATTGGAGGATATTTTAAATATAGTTGCAGCCTTCACAAGTTGCTTTTTTAAAAAAATTTTTTTAATTTATTTATTTGACAGAGTTACAGACAGAGACAGAGAGAAAGGTCTTCTTTCCATTGGTTCACTCCCCAAATGGCCACAACGGCCGGAGCTGCACCGATCCGAAGCCAGGAGCCAGGTGCTTCTTCCTGGTCTCCCATGTGGGTGCAGGGACCCAAGGACTTGGGCCATTTTCTACTGCTTTCCCAGGCCATAGCAGAGAGCTGGACTGGAAGAAGAGCGACCAGGACTAGAACCATGGGATTAACCAAGTGCACCATAGCGCCGGCCAGCCAGATTCCATGCCAGTGTGCATTCTAATGTTCTTGGCATACCTCAGCTCTGACCTATAAATTAACATTCATTTATCTTACTATGCATCGGTGGAATGAATCTGATCTTCCATAAAGGAATCATTTGTTACAATTAGAAAAATTAACTCTGTAGAGCCATTTAGGTCATCACCTTTGGAGACAAAGCTGATCTTGAACAACTATGGAGAGAGTGCATAATCTTTCCTCAGTCTCTAGTATATAACTGGATTACGTCTACTAATCAAATATCAGTGACACATTTAATACTTCTAGGTCAACAAGGAATTAATTTTTGTAGAATTCAGTAAAATATTATTTAAAAAGTAAAAACAAATGCCAACTTTCTAAGTCAGTCTTTAAGAAAACATCGAGTGTTTAAGAGAACTGCATTAAATTGAATATATTAGGATCTGAATATAACAGAACTAGGAAAATACCAAGCTACACTAATATACATTCATAGAATGTACAGTGATACCATTCAGACTTATTGCCACTGGAAAAATCAAGAGAAAATAACAACAACAGACTCACATATGATTAAAAATAATGCAATTTCCTGGGAATACATTAGTATTTAAAGGAGATCAAGCTCTTACCCAGCTTTGAAAATATCCAGTGACTTTTTAAAGATCCCAGAACTGAGTTAGACAAGTTAGTTTTAACTTTCACAATGTGAAAGAGCAGAGCATGATTCTTGGATACTGGCTGATGGGGTTAAAATACTGTGTGTAAAAATCTTTATGATTCAAACACTATTAAGAAGATACAAACTTAAAAGTTAGAGGTAGTTTTTGTTATTCATGTTTTTTTAATTATTTGAGAGGCACAGAGGGACACAGACACAAAGAGTGCCCATCTGCTGATCTACTCTCCCAAGTACCTCAAGTGGACAGGGCTGAGCAAAGCTGAAACCAGGGAACTAGAATCAGTCCAGGTCTACCAAATGAATGGCAGGAACCCAACTACTTAACTATCACCTGGGGTCCACATCAGCAGTAAGATGGAATCAGGAGCCAGAGTTGGGACTTACGGACTTGGCGTGGTGGCACAATGGGTTAAGCCACCACCTACAACACCAGCCTTCCATATGGACACTGGATCAAGTCCTGGCTACTCTGATTCCAATACAGCTCCCTGCTAATGTGCCTTGGAAAACAGAGAAAGATGAGCCAAGTACCTGGGCCCTTACCCTGCCCCCCCCCATGGGAGACCTGGATGGAGTTCCAGGCTCCTGGCTTCGGACTGGCCCAGCACCAGCCATTGTGGCCATTTGGGGAATGGATGGAAGAACATCCTCTCACTCCACCCCCAGTTATCTCCCCTTCTGCTTGTAACTCTTTCAAAGGAATCAGTCTTCAGCAGACCTGGGAGTTGAATCTAGGAATTCCGATATGGGACTTAGGCATCCTAACAGGTGGTTTTAACCTAGGCCAAATGCCCATTCCCATCAGAGGTAGTTTCAATGATGAAAGGCTTTGTGAGGTAATGTTTCTGAATAAAAGTTTTTGTAATCAATGAACTAAGTAATAGAAAGTGAGGCATGTAGTGTGGAAGGGGTATTTGTAACATGTTTTGCTATATGACCTTAACAAGAAAGAACGGTGAGTGAAAATGGCCCCATTCTGGGAAAAATACTGGCCGTTAGAAGTTATTTCTATAATTAGTCTAAACTGGTGACACTGGCAGTATGTAATCAGCACAGCCATGAGCATCATGCTGTGCTCTGACAGGTAGACGAGAGAAAAGGCCACTCCCAGAGAATAAAAACACTGACCCTGAAGATCAGCTCGCAATGTGAAGACACAAACTGCAGGGTAGAAAATCGAGTTTCTGAATTGTAAAATAATACTTCTGTATCTTATAAAGATTCTAAATTCAGCTTGCTAAAGTCTATACAGTACCACAAACATTTTTAAAAGGAAAAATGTTACATCTGTGTGTTTAGTAAATGTTTTTATAACCATGATTCTTGTATTCTAGGCTTTATACAAGCTTTACAGCGCAGCAGCGACTCACAGACACCTGTACCATCAAGCTTTTCCTGCACCAAAGTCGGAGCCTACTGAGCAGTCAGAAAAGAAAAAAATGTAATGCAGATTTTGAGAAACACAGGTGCATGACCAATTGTCAGTTAAATATTCAATTTTATGTTTCCATGCAGACATTCAAAGTGCTTCCATTAGAACAAAGTAAAATACCAAATGCCTCTGAAGACTACAAAATGGTTTAGTTCTTTTACTTCCGTGTTTAATAAGATGTATGTATGCATGGTTATATCATTTTGTTAACATACAGTTTCCTGATTTCATCTTTAAATATGCTGTTATAATTTAAAGTATTTGTCTATTTATGATGACAGTGTGTGTTCTGCTTGAATTTACTACATTCTATTACTGGGTTATAATTAAACCATGCAGTGATACTACTTCACATTTGAATATGCTCATTTAATTTCTATAGAAAATGTATTAAATTATTTCATAGAGCTATTTGTTAAAGGACAGCATCACAACTCAGCAGGCTTGATTTAATCTATATAATCTTACACATACCATGAGCTCTTCATTATTTTTAAGAATTTAAGAGCTTTTCAGTTGCTCTACCAGAAACTATCGCTTTTATATTATGATTTAAGATATACTATAAACCTCTTGATCAGAAATGCACAAAAAGTCATTTTGTATATGTATTTGAGTTTTACTGCATTGTATATTTTTTCATTTGGTACACAAAGAAATGTATTCTTCATAGTTTTATTCTTTTAACATGTGAACTATTAAAGTTTACTTTGGTTCCTAACATTAAAAACAAATGCGTACTGAATTCAGAAATGTTTGTACTGATCCAAAACTATGAAGATTTCTGTTTTTTAGAAATTCAAGATGCATTTTCTTTAATGTTGACACCATTACAAACTTAAATTCCCGTTTTAAGAGACATGTTAATCCCTTTAGGTACCCTGCAGTTGTTTTAAAGCTATGATCCTGTATTCTGTTTCTAATGATTAAAATATCTGGAATTCCACTGAAAAGACTTCTTACAGAAACAAATAAGGAAGGATCCAAATTAGACATTTCTGTCTCACAAATGTTCAAGTAGCAGGAAAGAAAAATTAAGAGTGTGCACAAGTTTATAAGATATGTAAATGCACCTTAGGAAAGCTGGATCGCAACCTTAGCAGCATTTCCACTTTTCAATACCCCTTTCACTGTATTGCCCATTCCTCTGCCTAGGGGCCCTTTAAAGGAAACATCCAACATTTATGGCAGTATATCTAAAACATGGACTCCAACACACATTTAGTTTCCACAAAAATATATTTAATAAGCTTGTTATATAAAATCAAACACTTAACATTTTCTCAATAATTCAAACTCACTAATTCTAACTGGGAGTGCTTGGTATTTTGGAAGACTACCTAATCTAAAAATATATTTACATATTTACAAGACAGGTAAATATGACTGAAGACCTATTTCAACTAATATTGAAGTTCACAGAATTTGAGAGGTTTACAGGCTAGAAGTATCATAAACTTGTTTATAATGAAATGTACTGCACTCATTATGAACAGTATCTTAACAACTAGAAACTAGGAAAGAAATAAATGGTTTTGAAATTCTGTGACAAACACTCAGAAGATAAAAAAAAGTAACAAAATCAATTTAATGACTAATATTTCTTAGTGAATCCCTGATTGTCATTTTAGGCAGCTTACCAACCATTCTGTCAGAACAGTCTATGTCACAGCCATGCTAAACAGAGAGCTCTGGCTGAAAGTAAAGCACACTATGTTAGCAACTGGCTTCATGCTTACATTTGTCCCTGAAAGATTCAAAGGCCTTTTACCAAGAAATACTTGCTCAACATGCTTCAAAAGGGTTCCTTACACGTGGGGAATGGGAGTGGAGGAAGGAAAACCACATACGTCCTATTTAGAAATTTAGCACAACCAAAATTCCAAATCCTATTTTATATTTTGCACTCTACCACGGTAATATATACATCATCCCATTCTAGACAATCTCTACAATAAAGCAGTAAACATCTTGTTGTAAAACACTGCATAGACACCCTCTCGGTTTTAAAGAAAGGTACTGCTGCTACAGAAGTTACCAAGTCGTCATTTCCTAATAAAGGTCTGCTATACTGACATTTTCTTGCATTTTTCTCCATCAAGAATATTCAAGGCAGTTTTCTACCTACCATACGGCATTTGGAAGTGTTTTTGCCATGCTGGCTCTGAAAATGATCAACTAGTTTTTTGATCAATAAAACAAAATTTCTAATAACAAAATACATGTAAAATTAGAATTTTATAATTTCCAAAAAGTAAGCTGCCTTTAATAATCAAAATACTTGTTTGCAATTGTTTATCTGTGAAAATATGTTAAAGCTCTTAGAAAACTTAAATTTCATTTTAAAAAATTAACTTAAAAATTCTTGCCATGTTGCTGGGCATACCACTGCTGTCTCTGCTTGCGGTTTTCCAGCTCAGTGAGGAGAGCTTGTCTGTAGGCTTCATACATTCTGACAATCTGTTCCAGTTCCTTCATGAAGAGCAGCTTCAGCATTCCCTGGTAAGTATCCAGGTCAGCCAGCTGGAAGAGTTCCCACTTCAGGATGTGGTCATACCTGTTGTTTTAGGGCACAGTTATACACACATTCAGAACACACATAAACATGCATGTATAGCAATAAACTAGTCTGGTTTTACAAACAGCAACTTCATTATAACTAAATAGATGATAACTGCTATTTTAAAACACTTTTTAATGGAAAGAGAGAACCACTAACATCACTTCATTTCAACTGAAGTTAAAGAACACCCATTTCCTTTCAAGTATCAGTTATTGTAATTAACATCAGACAGCCACCATTAACATCAACTTCAAAATACAGGGGTTCTATAATTTCTGAAGCAATTCATAAGTTAATCCAAAGTTAACCGTTAGGTATGTAAGGTTCCTTTAGATCACAATGTGCTTACAAATGAAAATGCTCAAAAACAGGCATTTGTGTCTTTAGTGCTGACAGATCTTTCTGAGGATGCTTACTACAGCAAGTAAGTTACCAAAAAGGAGGAAGGACAGAGACCATCAGTTGTGGGCTCCATATTTTTAAGGTTGGGTATGTAGTGCTAAACAGGCAAAAGCTTAACAAGAAATGAAAGAATAAACTCTTCACAATCAGACAGTGAGTAGACTGCAGGAGACTCCACAATGTGACACAGGACTAAGGTAAGATGATATTTACATATGAAATCTTGGAAGGCCTTGAATCTTTCTTCAATACTAAGTGGATCACATGCTGGGGTGGCTGTGACCATCTACTAATGCAGAATTTACATTCTGAACAGAAAGAGACCTGAGGACAGAATTCCAATTTTGTATTTTAAAGATGAGGCTACTTAGAACTTCTAAAAGTGTTCAGAGAGGCAAAAAGCTAGGAGCCATTTATATTCTATATACATAGGTAAATCATTCAGAAAATTGGCTGAAAACCACTCTAGTAGCCTATACTTAAATCATTTCTTTTCCTACAGCAGTATTCTATTCAATCACTATTCATAAATAACCAATATATGCTAATAGCAGTTGCTGTAATGCTTCCAAAATTACCTATCCACTCTCCAGTGGATGCTGTCATCAGGAGTCCAAGTGCTGTTATCCCCAGGCCCAGATGTGGCCTAGATCCCCTGCACCCAGCCTCCACATCAGTAACACTCCTTCCTTTCCACCTACCCCCAGCTGGCTCAGTGGTGATATGGTGGACTGCAAGGCTACTGGAACAAGAAGTCCCACTGGGGACTGAAAGTCTGGGTGTCTGTCTGGGGAATGATAGAGAGGTATGCCCTGAATGATCGATTTTCTGCGAAAGATTAAATTTTACAATTTTATCCCATAGTTCAGCTTGATTATAGTTCCTCTATGCATTATAAAATTGTGTAGTAGACTTAAAAACATCAATTCACAATCCGGTGAGGTTTGAAGTACATGCAAAAAACTGTGTAGGTAAATTACTGCTGGAGGTGGAATTACAGAATTTCAAGATTCTCACTTGTTTGGAAAACAGAAGGAAGAAAAAAGCTGGTTTTCTGGCAAACACACAACTTTCCTTGTTAAGATAAATAACAGACCTATCAGCATCTGCTCACCCTTGTTGATAGAACAATGTTAACTATTTCCATCCTCTCCAGAGACATAAAATGAGGATCAACTAGAAAGCAACAGGTTTCTAAACCTCTTGCTTAAGTTTTTAAAAGCAGTACAGAAGAACTCACTCTTTTCAGTCTGGCCCTGTCTGGAAGAGTTCCAGACTATCTGCTGGTTCAAAAGGGCTACAATTTTTGGGAGAAAGTTTCTTTTTATAAGAAACAAGGAGTTTCTTTTAAGAACTATCTTCCTCAGCAAAGTAAAAAGTAAAGCTTTTTTTTTTTTTAAGATTTACTTATTTATTTGAAAGTTAGAGACAGACATACAGACAGTTCACTCCCCAGATGGCCATAACAGGCCAAAGCCAGGAGCCAGGAGCTTCTTCTGGTTCTCCCACATGGGTAGCAAAGTCCCAAGCACTTGGACCACATTCCACTGCCTTTCCCAGACCATTAGCAGGAAGCTGGTTGCAAAGTGGAGCCACTGGGACACAAACTGGCACCCAGATTGGATGCTGGCATTGCAGGTGGTGGCTTTACCAGCTATGACATAATGCCAGTCCCTGCTATTTAACAATGACTATTCAATACAAGTAACAAAACACTAAGAATAATCCCCTTAAGTCTTACCAACTCCCATAAATAACCCAAGTTAACAGTTGGGGACATAGTCTTCTAGATTTAAAGAAAACATAAATACTGGTTCAGGGTCAGCGTGGGGTTCAATAGGCTAATCCGCCTGCGGCACTGGCACCCCAGGTTCTAGTCCTAGTCGGGGCGCTGGATTCTGTCCCGGTTGCTCCTCTTCCAGGCCAGCTCTCTGCTGTGGCCTGGGAGTGCAGTGGAGGATCGCCCAGGTCCTTGGGCCCTGCACCCACATGGGAGACCAGAAGGAAGCACCTGGCTCCTGGCTTCGGATCGGCGCAATGCGCCAGCCATAGCAGCCACTTGGGGGTGAACCAACAGAAAAAAGAAGACCTTTCTCTCTGTCTCTCTCTCACTGTCTAACTCTGCCTGTCCAAAAAAAAAAAAAAAAAAACCTGGTTCAGGATCAGCATATGAACAGGTTACACATAGTATAGGTCAGGTGGTATCAAGGGAGAGAGGAGACAGAAGACTCAATCTGCTATAATTCTTTGTCCAATTCCAAATAGTACATGGATATTATGATAAACAGACTTCTGCAGGTTTTGTCTGATATCTAATAATAGGAAATTTCTATGAATAAATGTGTACCTAATTTTGAATAAACTGAAACCAAACTTCTGGCAAGAACTATTGATATCTGATAGAATATCCATAAGTAAACCTTTTTTAAAATTACATTAAACAAAGTTTAAATTTGACAAGAAACAAAAATAACTGATGTTTTTAGTCAAAACTCTTCCAAGATCTTATTTCATCAAGTCAACATAACATTGTGAATGTATAGATGGAGAAGAATGAAGGAAATGTAAAGAAATATTTACAACAGTCAAAAACTAATAAACAGCTCATAGTAAGTAATCAGTAATTTTAAAATAATCTTAAACTAGATGAAATGCACAGAGTTATGGTCAAATAATTATAAGTCATCCCCTTCAGATAACCTATCAACAATTAAAATTAAAAATCTGAAAAGCTAATAAAAGTGTTTCCTAGCAGGAAAAAGGTTATTTTCCAAATCTGTAGTCTTAAAGGCACACAAGCAAAGAGGTGATAAATACAAAATAATATGGTAAAAATATAGGACAGATTTGTCTTAGCACCCTGGAAATTTTATATGAATGATCATCCTTTAACAGAAAAGTATTTATATTTCAAAAAAAAAAAAAAACAGTACATGAAAGATTTTAATTTTTGTTTCACTATGATTTAATTTATTTTAAATTCAATATCCAATCACCTCATATTATTCTTTGGGCTGTTTTATATTAATAATTTTAGTTTCAGAATTATGTAAAAGGAAATAAATAGTAAGACTACAAAAAAAGAGTAAACGAATATTACCTTAAATAACTGTTAAAGTACATGCAATTATTATGTATAACACATGTATAGCAAAGAGCTAAGAATGCAGCAACTGTTCAGTAAATGATTATTAAATCAGAAAGCAGTCATGACAAAAGAACATAGTCTTTGAAGTTAAAGAGCAAGATTCATAATCTACAACTTAACAGCTGTGTAAACTTAGTATGGATAAAGCCTCTATTTCTTCACTTGGATATGATTTGGGGAACTTCACACAAGATTACATACCTAAAAGTATAGGATAAGGAGGGACACAGGAAGCAATGAAGAATAATTTACTTTCAAACACGTGCTTTTCTGAGATCACAGCACTTTGTATATACCACTGCTAATATTATCAAACTGCCTTACTAATCTGAGCAGCACCCACTTCTGTTTTCCCCAACGAAAGCCCTGAAGGCAAACACTTCACTTAGTCATAATTCTAAGAACAATGCCAACCTACCACATAGATTTCTATTAAGTATCCTCAATGAGGGGTGGGTGTTTGGTGTAGCACTTATGATGCTGTCTGGGGATAGTAATAGTTCCTGGTTATTTAGAATTCAGTAAGAAAATGCATCTAAAGAACATTTCAAAATGTACTTAAAGAGCTCAGTAATGATTGTTATTATTAATGACACACAAACACCACAAAGGTGAAGATCACTCGGGAAGGAAACTGCCTGAGTGTGGATTCTGGCTCCTTGATCTACTCCTAGTGACTGACCCTGAGCAAATTACGAACTTTGATCTAAATGTTTTTCCTCCATTGAAACATGGCAGATAATAATCTTACCTACTTTACTTAATGTCATAAGACTTAAAAGAGGTAGTATACTGTAAAGCACACGGCACACTGGCTATCTTGCATAAACCCTTAGTAATGGCTTCCTTTATTTTATTTATTTATTTTTTTGACAGGCAGAGTTAGACAGTGAGAGAGAGAGACAGAGAGAAAAGACTTCCTTTTTCTGTCGGTTCACCCCCCAAGTGGCTGCTACAGCCAGCGTGCTGTGCTGATCCAAAGCCAGGAGCCAAGTGCTTCCTCCTGGTCTCCCATGCAGGTGCAGGGCCCAAGGACCTGGGCAATCCTCCACTGCACTCCCGGGCCACAGCAGAGAGCTGGCCTGGAAGAGGAGCAACCGGGACAGAATCCGGCACCCCAAGTGGGACTAGAACCCGGGGTGCCGGCGCCTCAGGCGGAGGATTAGCCTATTGAGCCGTGGCGCTGGACAGTAATGGCTTCTTAATATTAGGAGTGGAGCAAGGAAAGTTGCGCTCAAAGGAAAGTGCACAAGTTCAATCTTTCAAGATGGCTATGAATTTCCCAAGCTCATCAAAAACTGTTTTCCTTATTTTGGAAAGGCAGAGAATGAAAGACAGATTATCCACTGGTTCACTCCACAATAGCCAGGGCTGGCCCAGACCAGAGCTGGGAGCTGGGAGCTGGGAGCTGGGAGCTGGGAGCTGGGAGCTCTGGGTTTCCTGTGTGGATGGCAGGGACACAACTACCTAAGCTATCACCTCCTGCATTTTCTTATTAAATGTTTTTTTAAAGATTTATTTATTTAAAAGGCACAGTTAGAGAGAGAGGAGAGACAGAGAGAGAGGTATCTTCCATCTGCTGGTTCACTCCAAAATGACACCAAGGGCTGGGGCTGGGCCAGACTGAATCCAGGAGCCAGGAGCTTCTTCTGGGTCTCCCATGTAGGTGCAGTAGTCCAAGTACTTGGGCCATCTTCCACAGCTTTCCCTGGCCATTGGCAGGGAGCTGGATGGGAAGTGGAGCAGCCAGGACTCAAACCAGCACCCTTATGGGATGCTGGCACTGCAGGCTGCAGCTTTAACCCACTGTGCACAGTACCAGCCCCTCTCAGTAAATTTTTAATAATCTCAAGATCAGATACTATAATTATCCCCAATTTACAGAATATGAAACTACATCAAACACCCTGCCCAAGGTTACAAAGTTAAAAAATCTAAGTGAACTCAGATCACCTAATCCCAGAGCTCACAGCTCTGTACTACTTCTTCAACATTCTTGTATCCTGCTTTGTCTCACTCACGTTATTTAGGACTTACCTGGGCCCTCACTTTTATCACAACTTCTCTTACCTTTAATTATGTTACTCTCCTTTGAAAACCTAAACTTTTTTTTCTTTTTAAAAAGATTTATTTATTTATTTGAAAGTCGGAGTTACAGAGAAGAGAGGAGAGGCAGAGAGAGAGGTCTTCCGTCTGCTGGTTCACTACCCAGTTGGCTGCAACGGCCGGAGCTGCACCAATCCGAAGTCAGGAGCCAGGAGCTTCTTCTGGGTCTCCATGTGGGTACATGGAGGGGCCCAAAGACTTGGGCCATCTTCTACTGCTTTCCCAGGCTATAGCAGAGAGTGGATTGGAAGTGCAGCAGCGGGGATTGGAAGTGGAGCAGCCGGGTCTCGAACCGGTGCCCACATGGGATGCCGGTGCTTCAGGCCAGGGAGTTAACCCACTGTGCCACAGTGCCGGCCCCATGAACCTAAACTTCTTAATGTATCTCTAATAGCAGAGGTATGCACATAAGCTTATAGAATATTTATCAGTAACTTTTACACTTTATAAGCTCTGATATCCTTATATATCACTTAGATGCTCAATTAAAGAAAAACATGGCACTGTTTGGATTAAGCAGTCCAAAGATTCTACTCAGTATTCTATTCACCCCTTAAAAGCTGTGTGCCGTAAATTCACTTACTTCACAGGTGCTCGAGCATAAACCTGTAGCCAGTCAGGAATTTCTGCAGTGTGATATGGATTTGCAGGTACCAGAAGGGACTGATTTCTTTCAGTTTGCTGTGGCTGGTATGTCACGGGAGGAGGCTGATCATACCGAGGGACACTAAGAAGAATGACATTCATTAGGATAAAAGGCCCTGGATCTAAGCAGAAAATTATAGAGAACAAACAATAGCTAAGCATCTTTTAATGTGCCTATTGCCAAAAATGTCTTCCTTCCACAACCTAAAAGATACTTTCCTATGGCAAAGGTCTAGCCTTCTTTATTTATCTGAAAGAGTTACAGTGAGAGAGGGAGACAGAGAGAACAGAGACACCTTCCATCTGCTAGTTCACTCCGCATATGCTCATGACATATGGGCCAGGCTGGAGCCAGGAGCTTCTTTCAGGTCTCCCACATGGGTGCAGGGGCCCAAGCACTTGCCCATCCTCTACTGCTTTCCCAGGCACACTAGCAGGAACTGGACTAGAAGTGGACCACCGGGGACATGAACTGGTGCCTATAGGATGCCAGGCACTGCAGTCGGTGGCTTGACCTGCTATGGCACACAGTGCTGGCCCTCTAAGCTCTAGCTTTCTTTATCATTCTCTAGGGAAATAAAATCCACCTTCCTTTGGAAATTGGTATGTTACATAAATCTACACAAAATATTTGCATATTTTTAACATATTTCTTCTGGCTAGTATTTAATCTTTTCAAAAATAGCTTCAGTGAGACTATAAAAAAAGTTGGAGCTAAGTTGTAACCTTACAAACAGGCTTAAAACTAGAATACCATATTTTTGTAACAATTAAGAATTAGGTGTAAATTCTAAATGAGAAAGGATACTTTCTTCCTCCTGTAGGATGAAAACAAGGGTTAGGATATGTAGTACAGTGGGAGTGGTTTCTGTGCTGGAAGTAGTCACAGTATTTCCTCTTTATTTTATCAACTTACAGGGGTGGGGAATCTTTTTTCTGCCCAGAGCCATTTGGATATTGACAAAAATCATTTGTGGGCCATACAAAATTTTCAATTTAAAATTAGCTTGCTGTAGATTTACACAATTTCAAGTCCCTCCTGTGGCTGCCTTGGCAGGGCCAGATCAAATGATTTCAAGGGTCTTATACCACCTGTAAGGCGAACCGCCTCCCCGCAAGAGAACTTGTGGTAGTAAGGATTGATTAGAATCTATTTTATGCTAATTTCCATTTGTTTATTCTATTTATTTGAAAGGCAGAGAGAGGCAAAACAATTTCCCCTCTGCTGGTCCACTCCCATAATGCTCACAACAGCAGGGGCTGGGCCATGCTGAAGCCTAGAGTAGGGAACTCAACTGGGTCTCCCATTGGGTGGCAGGGTTCCAAGACTTGCCATCACTTGCTGCTTTCCATGGTGTGTATTAGCAGGGAGCTTGAACCCAGTACTCTGCTATGGGACTCAGGCATTCCCAGTGACATCTCAACCGTCAAATGCATACCTCAGAACCTATTTTAAATCAGAGAGATAAAACAAAACAAACGGCATCATGCTTCACTTAATTCTAATAGCCTCAATGTGCTGTGAGGAAGGCCATAACTGCCAGATAGAAAGGGGAGCATTATAGGGGAAGATTAAAGGTTGAATTCTGAAGGCCAAAATAATCTATTTCAGACTCAGAGACAAAACCAGGAGGGGTATGCCTCCAAACATATAAGTTTTGCTTATTTATCAGAAAAGGTTACTAATTATTAGACCGGATTATAGTAGGGTTAGAATGCACCATGCTTAACAATTTAAAGACAATGTGCAAATAGCAATGTATTTTATCTTCAACTTTTATTTCATAACTAAATTCAAAGGGAAATATTTTTTGATAGCATGATATGGGGGCTGGAAGGAACTGAGACCTTGAAGTCAGATATGTCTGGGTTTTAGCCTCAATGTAGTCACTTACAACTTGTATGAATATGGGCAAAACTGCTTCACTTCTCTAATTCTCAGGATACTGATTAGTAAGAGTGGACCAAAACACTCATGCCACAGATGGTTTTCTCAGGACTAAATGAGCCACTGTAAGATGAATGTTCTGTGTAAGAATCAGCATAATAGAATCCAACAGCGAGCCGGCGCCGTGGCTCAATAGGCTAATCCTCCACCTTGCGGCGCCGGCACACCGGGTTCTAGTCCCGGTCGGGGCGCCGGATTCTGTCCCGGTTGCCCCTCTTCCAGGCCAGCTCTCTGCTGTGGCCAGGGAGTGCAGTGGAGGATGGCCCAGGTGCTTGGGCCCTGCACCCCATGGAAGACCAGGAAAAGCACCTGGCTCCTGGCTCCTGCCAGGATCAGCGCGGTGCGCCGGCTGCAGCGGCGGCCATTGGAGGGTGAACCAGCGGCAAAGGAAGACCTTTCTCTCTGTCTCTCTCTCACTGTCCACTCTGCCTGTCAAAAAAAAAAAAAAAAAAAGAATCCAACAGCTATTACTACACTCATGTGAGCTTCAGGACAGTATTCAAGCATTCTTCCCCATTTCCACTTCTACAGAGTTACTAAGAGAAGCAAAGTAATTAATTGTGAAAATACTTTGTAAACTATAAAAATTCTGTAGTAATGTGGGGCTAATGATGATGAACGGAAAGTCAAGTCTGAAGTCTGGTTACTTGGACCCAAAGATCTCTGCCACGTGCTGACAACAAAAAACAACTGCAGTTTTGGTTCTTTTGAAGGAAGGGTACCTCAGTCCTTTACTAAACACTGAGCACCACTAAACGGAATCACTGGGAAAAACTGACTTTCAAAGTTTAATTAAAAACCCCAAATATGGCCGGCGCCGTGGCTCACTAGGCTAATCCTCCGCCTAGCAGCGCCGGCACACCGGGTTCTAGTCCCGGTTGGGGCGCCGGATTCTGTCCCGGTTGCCCCTCTTCCAGGCCAGCTCTCTGCTGTGGCCTGGGAGTGCAGTGGAGGATGACCCAGGTGCTTGGGCCCTGCACCCCATGGGAGACCAGGAAAAGCACCTGGCTCCTGGCTCCTGCCATCGGATCAGTGCGGTGCGCCGGCCGCAGCGTGCCGGCCGCGGCGGCCATTGGAGGGTGAACCAACAGCAAAGGAAGACCTTTCTCTCTGTCTCTCTCTCTCACTGTCCACTCTGCCTGTCAAAAAATAAAAAAATAAATAAATAAATAAATGAAACCCAAATATGTAATATAATTAAAGAAATGCATAAATCACAAAAACTAGTTTTCCAGGTGGTAATACTACAATATATTTTCACAGTGATTTTAATGGCTCTAAGCAATTAAAAAGTGTCCACTATAACCAAATATCTCTAACATACCAGATGATATTAAGCATCATTGGTCAGCATGTTGATGATATTTTACCCACCTTCAACCTTATGGCTCAGTTCTTTGACCTCAGCTTTGGTTCATCTGAATTATCTGCAACTTCATTACTAAGCTAACACTAGCTTTGATGTACTCCAAATTCCAGTGCATTCTGTACACTTGGATCACATCTCAATTTGTGTTAATCACATTTTAAGTGCTCAGTAACCACATTTGACAAACTGCCTGTAGTATCATCCCAGGGCTAAAAGTCTGGCAACAAATCAGATGTATTGATGAGCCCATTACCAACTAAAATAGCCCAAAGAATCACCAGCTAAATTTACTAAATAGGTTTTGGGTGTTCTGTCTAGCCTCAATTTTCATTTTCTTTTCTAAGAAAGAAACAGAACATAAAACCATGTTTTAAATTAATTAAAAATAGCAAGATATTATAATCAAAAAATCTATTTTGACTTAGTAGGTGTTAGGTTACTATCAAGTATAGGAATTTAGTGGTAAAGACACAAATCGTTTACTGAGTTATTTCAATTTCTAAGTATCCACAACAAAAACATTCCAGTACACTAAAGCAAAATCTGATTACATTAATAGTGATCTTATCTTCAAGGATTAATAAGAAAAGGAGTTTAATTTTTTGTAATTAATAAATTCAGAGAAAACTGTCATGAATTTTGAAAAGTCAAGTTTTCAAATATCAAGTATCAGACTACTGAATGCTCTGCGATCTCCATCCACACATCAGCCTTCCAAATCCTGAGGTAAGACGCCGAATGGGAAATTTTCACAGCGACTCTTTGAGTTGTGGTCTACTCTCGTCTACATTCGTCTGAGGCTTTTCTACTTTCATCCAAAGTCGTAGTGCTAGACACCACAACTCCTACTTAAGGCCTTTAGCCTCTACGGACACCATGTCCAGGTAACAGTGGGTGCGAGTGACGACTCCATCTCTGTTCACCTCTTTACAGGCGAGGCCCTGGGCTCCAGCGGGCGCTTGGGTGACGACCCTGCCTTCTGCTCCCATATTCTCTCACTAGTCAGATAGCCGGGATGCGAGGACGCTTGCAATCCACGGATCTGACTCTACAGGTTGCAATGGGAACTTTTCTCTAAACGCATTCCGTCTGATGGTCCCTCTCAAATTGGCCCCAGCCCTCAAAAAGTGGCCCCTTCAGGGTGGCGCATTTGGCCCTGAGGGATCAGAAGTCGAAGTAGTTTGACCCTGATAACATCTTTATCACTTCCGTGAGTGTTCGGGAAAATGGAAGGAGATTCCATATGTTCAAGCTTTTTCCTATCTTCGAACTAAACCTTCCCTGTGTACTTCTTGCTCTCCCGCTCAGGTCCTTCTGGTCTCCAAGACTCCCACTAGGGGTCGGAGACCTGAGCAGAAAACTTTGTTTTCTACCTCTAACCTTGGTACCGCCACTACCACACCTCCCTTGATCCTGCAGATGAGCTCCCCTCCCCCCCATTGCTCCAATCCACAGGCACCGGCTCAGCCGCCTCCTGAGGCCTCAGTGGCTGAAGTTCCCGCACCATTATCTCCCACAGGCAATCCACCATCAGCTCTGGCCCTGGCTGTGTTGTCACCTCCCCCTCCTGCCGAATTCCAGGGGGCGGGGTCAACCTCTGCTCCCACCTCCACTGCAATCTCTTCCATCTTCTCTCAAGCCCCTTGCTCATCTATTCCTCAAAGCCATTAATTACAACTCTGTCCTCTGTATCTAGCCCACCTGAGCCTCATTGCTTTGTAATCATAACCTCTACCACCAATGGCTCTACTCCCAACCTGTGTGTCAAAATTTCTCTACAAACCCCACAACCTGCAAAAGTGGCCTTTCTCCCAGTCTTGGCTGGAATCAGCTTTAAGCCACATCCATCAAACTGTCCCCACAGGGTCCAGAGACCCCCCCCTCCCCCATTTCCTCTCCTCTATAAAATCCTCTCGTTACCTGGTTATCATTGGTTGCTATTCTCACTCTGTCTTTTATACTACAGTGTCCAAGTGTTTACAGCAGGTTATAATGGAACAAACAAAGGCCTTCAGCTACCAGGCAGTCAACCAAATGCTGCTACAGGAATATACTCGGCTCCCCACCCAGGAGACAGTGGCCTTAGACATCGCCCCATGCCAGCGAAGAGTACATCATCGCCCCATGTCAGCAGGAAGTAGCTCTAAAGACAGATCATCGTCCCTCTACCCCTCCTGGACTTTTGGGGCTAATGTAATCCCATACAAATCCTGCTTTATACAAAACAAAAGGGGGTAATGTTAGGAAACTGGCACAGTTTTAGCCATGTTGCAGCATGGCCCAGCAACCTGAGCCAGGCTCTACCCCCATCCTAATGGGATTTGCTGCTCCTGCTTCCCTGCCCGCCCTCGGGCAAAGTTTTAAAAGGGCCTGTTTCTGAACATGTTTTCTCTTGGCTCCTCTCCTTCTCTCTGCTCTATCTTCTCTCCTCACTAGCTCCTCTCCTCTGGCTCTCTCTCTCTCTTATACTTTCTCTTTCCCTTCGCCACCCCTTCACTCTGGTCTGTAGGGTATTCCCCAATAAACCCTTTCCCTTAAAAAAAAAAAAAAAATCAAGTGTCAGGATGCCTTTCTCCAATAATAAAAATGAGTCCAAAACCTGAAATTAGATAATTTCAAAATAAAAAGTTGAAAACAAAGTTGGTACTCTACCTAGGAGCACAGGGATGCCTGTACTGAGCCTTCTTATTTGTGTGATCTACATAATAGGTTCCAAACTCTGATGATTCAACTCGCTCCCATCCAGGAGGAAGTCCTTCTCGCTCAAGAGGATGGCTCCAATGAGTTGTATTTGTGTTATGATCTATATAATATTTTCTTCCCCTCATTGTCCAGTCCACAGTCCAGCCAGGAGGAAGGGGTAAATCTTCAGAACCATGGTTAGTTAAATTTCCTAATGATGTAGCAGCAACTCTCCCAATACCTGAAGACAAAGAGAAAAAAAGAAACACCACAGTCATTCAAAGATAGATGAAGCCAGCATGCCAGCCAGCCAAGTAAGTTACAAACCTAACTGTTCTGATTGTTTTCTTCTGTTAAAATATATGGTCACATCATTAAAATTTTTCAAAAACCAGGGGTGGGTATTGTGGTACAGACGGTCACACCCACCAGTGCTGCTTGACAGGGGTGGGGAAGCAAGAGGGTTTCCAGTTCCAACTTCTCTGCTTCCCATCTGGTTTCCTCCTAATGTGCCCAAGAAAATAGAGGATGTTGACCCAAGTGTTTGGGTCTTTGTCACCCACGTGGGAGACCAGGATGGAATTCCAGGCTTTTGGCTTCAACCTGGCCTAGCCTTGTCTATTGTGGGCATTTGTGGAGTGAATCAATGATATAAGATCTGTCTCCTTCTCTCTCCCCTCTCTTTTGTGTCATTTTTGTCAAATAAATAAGCACATTTAAAATTTTTAAATAAATCAGCCATTAATATTATTTAATTACAAAAACAGGGAGAAAGGAGACTTTGAAATTAGTAGGCTTTTTTTTTGGGGGGGGGGGTTGATCTTTCCATCATCAGGCCACATAAACACTTCGTAATCAAGCAAAGCTACTGCTATGGGTTCAGTAGTGTTCAAATTCATGCAGCTTTCAACTACGACATTGTAATGTTAGTGGCTATTGGATTACGGGTAAAGATTTGACCTCAATGTAGTGGCCCAAAAATGTGGCTGGTGGGAGGTGTTTAGGTCACTGGAACACCTCTCAGAAGGGGTTGAGTTCAGCCTCGATTTTGTTCTCATTTCCTGGCTGGCTATGTGAGCAGCCCCACAGACACCATTCCCTGGGGCTGCCTAATCATGAACTGAACCAACTGTAAGCTAAAATAAGCCCCTCCTTTCTCAAAGCTCCTCTCTGGTATTTTAGGTAAAAAAGTAATGAAAAGCAGATTAACACAGCTACACCTAACAGAAAGGTTAGGAAAAGAAAAATTTCACCTCACTCAAGATTTCAGAGTCAGGATTGTGGTGTAACAGGTAAAGCTACAGCCTGTGATGCCAGCATCCCATATGGGCACCGGTTCGAGTCTTGGCTGCTGCATTTCTCACCCGGCTACCTGCTCTAATGGCCTGGGGAAAGCAGCAACAGATGGCCCAAAGTGCATGGGACCCTGGCACCAGGGCATTGTGGCCATTTGGGGAGTAAACCAGTGGATGGAAGTTGTCTCCCTCTTCCCCACCCCACCCCGCACCTCTCTATAACTCTGCCTCTCAAATAAATAAATAAATCTTTAAAAAAAAAAAAAAAAAAAGGATGGCCGGAGCCATAGCTCACTTGGCTAATCCTCCACCTGCGGTGCTGGCACACCAGGTTCTAGTCCCAGTTGGGGCGCCGGTTTCTCCTCTTCCAGTCCAGCTCTCTGCTGTGGCCCGGGAAGGCAGTGGAGGATGGCCCAAGTGCTTGGGCCCTGCACCCGCATGGGAGACCAGGAGGAAGCACCTAGCTCCTGGCTTCGGATCGTATCGGAGTGGCGCGCCAGCCACAGCAGCCATTTGGGGGGGTAAACCCATGGAAAATGAAGACCTTGACCTCTCTCTCTCTCTCTCTCACTAACTCTGCCTGTCCAAAAAAAAAAAAAAAAAAAAAAAGAGGATGAAATTCAAACGGTCAACAGACACATGAAAAACTGCTCATGATCACTAGCTATCAGGGAAATGCAAATAAAAACCACAATGAGGTTTCACCTCACCCTAGGAGAATGGCTCTCATACAGAAATAAAAAAACAACAAATGCTAGTGAAGATGTGAGGAAAACGGTTCCCTCATTCACTGTTGGTGGGAATACAAACTAGTGCAGCCATTCTGGAAGACAGTACAGAGATTCCTCAGAAATCTGACAATAAATCTACCATATGACCCAGCCATGCCACCCCTGGAAATTTATCCCAAGAAAATGAAATCAGCATTTGAAAGAATTATCTGTGCCCCCATGTTTATTGCAGCTCAACTCACAATAGCTAAGACATGGAATCAACCCAGATACCCATCAATCCATGAGTGGATAAAGAACTGTGGTATACATACACTACAGAATATTACTCAGCAGTAAAAAGAATGAAATCCTGTGTGAAATAAGCCACTTCCAAGAAGTTACCACTTCTCCGATCTGTGGTAACTAACAGTAAAAGAAAAATAAAAGTATAGTATTTGCATTGCAATCTGCATGAAGTTATTCCTGAGCATAAACTATTGAGAGGAAATGGCTTAAAGTCTAAATGAACCTAATTATTATCTTGTAACCACATGAAATATTTAATGTTTCATTGTCATTGGTTCTATTTCATTGAAAGGAATTATGATAAGTACTTGATTTAAAAAAACTATATATGAAGGAAATGGTCATTTTTTCCATTCAACTATTATTTATAGCCATTGCATACATTCCCACTAAACTAGGATCTTCTTGCTTTACTTGTTAAACTTCTTATTCAGTGAAGTACTAAGCCTTTTTTCTGTATTGTAAATTTAAAATATTATCATTATGTTCTTAGACTTGTATGTGTAAATCATACTGAATGTTAAAAAATTAAAACAAAAATGAAATTTTAAAAATCAAAAAGATATTTTCATATTTTAGCCTCACTCTTCAAACCTCTAACACATTTTGTTCCAAATTCAGAGAATATAACCTCTCAATCTTATTTTGCAAAAAAAAAAAAAAAAAAAAAAAGGAAAAAAAGCCAGAAAAAAAAAAAAGTGTAGCACAAGCAGCTTGACTACTTAAAGAAGCTAGTCTCCCATGTGGGACCAAGGGATTCAAGCACTTGGGCCATCACCTACTACTTCCCAGGGTGCACATTAGCAAGAAGCTGGATAGCAAGCAGAGTTAGGATTCAAACCCAGGCAATCCAATATGATGTGTGGGGATACCAACTGGCAGCTTAACTGCTACACCAATCAACTGCCCTAAAAGTAACCTTTTCTTTTAAAAGACTGATTTATTTATTTGAAAGGCAGAGTTACAGAGAGGCAGAGACCAAGAGAGAGAGAGGTCTTCCATCTGCTGGTTCACTCCCCAAATGGCCCCATCCGCCGGAGCTGAGCCAATCTGAAGCCAGGAGCCAGGGGCTTCTACTGGGTCTCACCAGTACAGGGGCCCAAGAACTTGGGCCATCTTCTATTGTTTTCCCAGGCCACAGCAGAGAGCTGGATCAGAAGTGGATCTGCTGGGATATGAACTGGTGCCCATATGGGATGCCAGAACTGCAGGCGATGGCTTTACCCGCTACACCACAGCACCACTCCTACAAATAACTTACAAAATCATATGTATAAGCATTAAATGACTATATCGGGGTGGGGAATCTTCTTTCTGCTAAGGGCCATTTGGAAATGTGTGATACTATTTGCGGGCCACATAAAATTATCAACTTAAAAATTAGTCTGCTATAGATTTATTGAATTTCGAGTCCCATCTGCAGTTGCCTTGCAGGGCCAGACTAAATGATTTCACAGGCCTTATAAAGACTACAGGCCGGAAGTTCCCCACTTCTGCTTTACCCTAAAACTTCTATTATGTTATAAATGTACAACAGCTGCAATCAAGAACAGCAATTAACAGTTTTCAAAAACTTAAAACCAACTCAATATATTCAAACTGAGTGACTTATAGGAACCATAACGCTTTTGCCAGTTGTCCCACTGAATATACCAAGTATAAATAACTTCTTTTTTTAATTTTCTTTTTGACAGGCAGAGTTAGACAGTGAGAGAGAAAGAGAGAGAGTCTTCATTTTCCGTTGGTTCACCCCCCAAATGGCCACTACGGCTGGCACACTGCACCAATCCGAAGCCAGGAGCTAGGTGCTTCCTCCTGGTCTCCCATGCGGGCCAAGCACTTGGGCCATCCTCCACTGCCTTTCTGGGCCACAGCAGAGAGCTGGACTGGAAGAGGAGCAACCGGGACAGAATCCGGCGCCCCAACTGGGACTAGAACCCGGGGTGCCGGCGCCACAGGCAGAGGATTAGCCTAGTGAGCTGCGGTGCCGGCCTATAAATAACTTCTAATTACAGTATCATTTCAACAAAAAGTTATTTTAGTAAATAAAAATTCTGTTTAGACATTTTACAATAATTTCACTCATCTGATTAAGCAAATCCAGACTGCCGTGAACCAATGTTTCCCTAAAGCTAGAAACACGTGTACTTTTACATCTAAATAATCATAAATTCCAAAACTATCTCACCTATGATAAACTTGAAATTCATATTTGGGGGAAGTACAACGATCTCTCTGAAAAAACTCTCCTTCTGAATTTGATAAAGGGGCCATGAAGTTCCAAATACTCATCAGTCCTACTAACACAATGTAAAATCTCTAAGCTGTGTAAAACCAGGATTCCTTACCTTTTCAGAGATAGTTAATTTACAAACACTTTCATGATTCACACCCTCTAATAATTTCCCAAAGTGTCTTAGGCACTAAATTTTATTTGGGACAATTTTTATAAAACCTACCAAGAGGCAACTAAACATCATAAAAAAAATTGGAAACCACTGGTCTAAAACATAACACTAATAATAAAATAAAGGGCAGACAAAAAAAAAAAAAAAACAACCCACATGCCAGCTATGTTAAGCAACACGTCACAAGTTCAGGTCCAGCCAGAAAGTTAAAACCTCAATAAACACACCAATCTGGAAAACCCACAAAAAAGCATACAATACTCCTCCAAAAAGCATGGGTAGGAATGGTTATAAATGTGCACTCTGTCCCTGGCACTTTCTGTATGTCCTTTTTTTAATTTTTCTCCAGAATCACTGCAGTAACTTTTTTTTAAAAAAAGATTTTATTTATTTGAAAGACAGAGTTACAGAGAGGCAGAGGCAGACAGAGAGAAAGAGGTCTTCCATCCACTGGTTTACTCTCCAGATGGCCGCAACTGTGCAGACCGGAAGCCAGGAGCTTCTTCTGGGTCTCCCATG